TACATTACCGAGTCATATCTCCTGTACATAAAGAATATAAAAGCGCCTATATTAACTCTTCACCAGGGATAGATTCTCAATAATGTCCATAAAAAAAGAACAATCAATTAAGTTTTTAAGTCATAATTCAACACAAGTTGTCTTGGATGCATGACTGTGTGGTGGTGAGACACATGCTAAGTTTTTCTTACATCAAGAGTATAAATATGATCATTAGAATTCATCATCCGCTGAACAATCCGAAAATTCCTCTGAAAAAGAACAATGCCACTGGCGTCTTTAGTTACAATTCTCCTCATGTTGTCATGGAGGCTCGACCGTGTGGTGATGGGAGTCATATTAAGACCATCGTTTGTATTCTAGGTCCACCCGACTGAGGCAGCTTGAGGTGATGGCCAACACACGTAATGATCATTAAAATAATGTAATAAACTCCACTTAACTCTAGAAAAATAGCACCGCTCATTACACCTCGCTTTGGTATTCCACGAACGTGTGTTCCTTGCTGCCTGCATGAGCGGTGGAGGCCCGGGGTGCTAGGGACGGAGGGAGGGTGAGGGTGTGGGTGGGAGAGCAAGAGGTGGGTGAGAGAGGGAGGAAGAGAGGGAAGCGTCAGATGAGAAACAGGGAGTTAAGAAAGTAGGGAAAAGAAGGAGAATGAAAGAAAGAAGCAAAGTACTGTAATGAAAATAATTAAGAATAAATAAGGATGAAGTAAGAAATACGTGAAAGAAGGAGAGAATCATGAGAGAGAGAGAGAGAGAGAGAAGCGGGAGAAGGTGGTGTAAATGCAGAGCGTCACCTTCTCAGAGGCCGTCACAGCTAGACAGGACCTGCCTGAGTAATGAAGTGGTGGAGGGCTGTGGCAGATCCTCCTTCCTCACTCCTGCTGAATCTTTTATGAGTCTCTCCTCCTCGTTGTGTGATTCTTTTTTGTTTCGTCGTTATTCACTTTCATTTATCATTTCTTCCCTCTCCCTCCTGTTCTTTTACATATACACCCCCATATTTAATACTCTTTTTCGCGTGATATCAGAGTAAAGTCCTACCAGCCGTGTTTGTTGTGAAAATATACATTGTTTTGAACTTATTTGTTTCTTTTTTTACAATTCTGGAGACAAGTAGCCAATGACAGTCATGCTATACCAGTCAGACAGGTAACCGTGTAAACCTTAGTGGATGAAGTAACATGCGGTACAGTCACTCTCATGAACTCAAGTCTCAGTGGGTACGCTGTTGAATTACAAGTTAGATCTGAACATTATTATGGTCACCCCCATCACTAATGTTCCATCTAATTCTCACAAGGTTTTTATATGGTGCTTTTGTAACTCACTATTATCTGCGATGAGTAAGTAAAAAAAATGAATGTAATTTGTGCTTGAGCTGACGAATACATAACACTCAGTACAATTTGCCGTTGGTGAAATTGTAGACGAGACATTATCCTACTGTTAGAAGATCGTCTGTAGGGAACGTCCCTGATACAACTTAATGTAACTTTTATATAACCTAACCTAATGTAAAGTAGTCTAACCCCCACCTAACCTAACCTTACTCTAAAATAACCTGACCTGTCCCGCGGTGTTCGTATGAAAATTGAAATCCGGTTCAGGAAACTAGTTTTGCCCTGAATAACGAGTCAATGTACCAGTAGAGTGGAAATTCGTATAAGAAATTAATGGACTACGAGACCATCTGATGTTTCCCTGTGCCTTTTCGTTGCTAAAATAAATAAATGATCAAATAGGCAATAAGGATCCAAGTCTATTAGCGGTGACAACCTAACGTCATCTAACCATCAGAATTGGGGGCCCATTAGAATTGGGCCCTTATCACCAGAGGCCCATTACCTTTGACCTTTCTACCCCAAAATGATGATGGTGACCTTCTATTACCCCGCGGTAATTTCATCCCTTAAAGATAACGATACATGTGGAAATATCTTCCGGAAATAATTTAATCTACAGAAATACAGACGGACGGACAAACAAGCTGAAACCAATATATACCCACAACACGTATGCAGGGCTTAAAGTAATAATCTATTTTGTACTAAAACAACAAAATGGAAATACCCAACAAAATTGCATCAAAATTCTACACATGGTTCCAACATTTTTTATGCCATATTCACGTTAATCGCGATTTAATCAGGTAATTATACGTCCTGGAAATATTTGTTAGCAGGGAGCACCTGTAATTAAACCCCAGATCATGATGCATTAGGTGTTGCCTCAGGTAAGAACAGTAGCATCAACTATTGCAGTGAGACGCCTCGCCTGACTCACACCACTACCCCTGCCACACACACACACACATCACCAACCCCTGTCACACACGCACACCATATCATTCCATCTACACACACACAGAACAACTAAGAAATACCTCCAACGTTATCATATATATTTTAACAGTATTATCCCAGTGATAACAAAATAATGATCTTCCTGACTTTAAATACATATTATGAAACCAATCAATAAAGCTACAGCAAAAAACGAGATATACTGATAAAGAAAATCGCATATTATTTTCAAGCCACAGAAGTTCAATATTAGCTTCTGTTGTGGCTCTGTAGACATCAAAGCGGTATTCTGTTTCCTTCCATGCATTTCCTTACGTCTCCTCTCCGTGAAGTTGTCCAAAGTTGCGGCCATTGGTGAAACAAACTTTGACATTTACCCCCATTGAAAAAGTTAAGGGCGGCTTTGACCGGGTGAACGCTCAGGTAAATGGTTCATATTAAGTTTCTATAATGTAAAAATAAAACATCTTCAATGGTTCTTTATTAATCAATCTTGATCTTTACTATAGCTAAGTTATTTCTTTTATAATCAATGTTTAAAATCGGGAAGATCATTTTGTCATCAGCCGGTAATTATTGAATACACATGAGAACAATACAAGCAAACAAACACATACACACAGACGAAACAAGGCAAAGTCGCTCACAAACACGTGCAGATTGAAAACTAAACACACACACACACATACGCACACACACACACACACACACATGCACACACACACACACACATACACACACACACACACACACACACATCAACACACACAAAAACAACCTTAGTCAAACAGAACCACACACAAGACAGAATTGCAAAGTTAAACACAACACGGACAGACGTGAATCGCCAGGGGGGAGATAAAACTCGTTCACTTATCTGTAATGAGCGAGAACTTTTTCCCTTTCCTAATCTATTGAGTCTCATCTTATTAATTTTTTTCCTCCTGAATTTCCTAGACACGCAGATTAAATATAACGAGGCAGCCATCATCATCTTATTATGACGTCATGACTGTGTAATCTTCCAGAACCACTAATACACTACTTGGGATTCTCCGTAAGTTGTGTAAAAATGTTAGGAACAGTGAAGGTGGCGAATCTTGAGGTAATATGAGGACAGGTCAGATGTGCTTCACAATTACTGTACTTGGCGCCTGACTTAACCTACTTTAACCTAAGAAGAATGGAGTGCCTAATCGTTAATGGGCATCGGACCTAATAGACACCAGTCCTAATTTTCACTAACATAACCTTAGCTGTCTCATCCTGGCCTAACCATTAAGATTTGTAGTTCATTGGAACTGGGGTCTGTTAGGACTGGGGTCTATCAGGATTACAACTGATTAGGATTACACCTTAATCCTGAATCAGACTAGGTAAGGTTATACTGGAGCCTATTAGGATTAGAGCCCATGTGGACTGAGCGGTAATCCTAATCGTCAGAGCAGGTTTGAGCTTATTAGAACTGTGGCTCATTTGATCTGTTCCATTATGCATGAGCCAGTTTCCAGACTTAGGACCAGCAGAATCATTGTTTTGATAAATGTTAATTATTTTTTACAAGCGACAATGCTTGGACATGCAACCCAACCACTCATAGTGGGTTACGACCACGAGCCAGTGCTCTCACGTTAAATGTGAATGTTATTCCTTAATACAATAATTATGGTAGAAGACTCGTAAAATCATATAATAAAGCCACTGTACCTTCCCAGCCCAGCCAATCTTAACCTCCACAACATAGCCAGAGCTTTGAAGAAGAAGGAAACTAAGAGGTAAAAACCTAACCTGACTATCCCCCTTCCTCCTCTCCCCTGTTTCCCCGATTGAAAATAGGGAAAAAACATGAAATAAAAAAAACACTCCGCCAAGAGAATATGAGGAAGTATAACTATAGAAAATATTTAAAATGTTCTTAAGAAAGTAACTGAGACAAAAGATGATGACCGTTTCTTTAACAATTACCTTCATTTCCTTTATACTTTTGTTTGCCTCACTATTATCACCCAATAGCCATTACAGTCACACCAGATTATAGCTAATGAATCTCCTGCTCCCTCACCTCCCTCTACTTTGCCTCTCCCTTTTCACCTCCTCCTTCCTCCCACTTTAGCATTTCATGCATTTAACAAACTTTCACAGAAATTGTACTTCTGATAACAAAACCAAAGGTGTCTTTACTTATCACTTCAGAGTGGCAGCAAGAGAGTAGTTCAAGCCTCAGCACCAGGGCACAGCCAGACTTAAGTCACCGTACTCAAGGGGTCAACAACTTAACACTGGTCAGCAATATACTGAGTAGATCATATTATAAACTCAGCAGCAGACACAGAGATGAAAGTTAAAGGACAGATAAGGAACGTCCATAATCTGGTGATGTAGTTTGTGAGCTGAATCACAGATGGTAGTATAACTCACAGGTTGAAACAGCTTCGGTTTAGGCAGCCTCGAGAAGGTTACCGGGAGTGTGTGTGTGTGTGTGTGTGTGTGTTAAAAGGAACGATCCTCAACACAACCTTATTTTTTGACTGCTATTCTCCTTGATTGGTTTACCTGGTAAACATCTAAAACCTAAGGAGGGAATTAGAACGGGACGGAAAAGGCACAATTTTCGGGATTGATGTTACAATCCAACAGTCGGTCTCACGCAATTCTAATGGAGAAAAAAAACTTTCCATTGCATGCTTGTTGTATTAAACACGAGACAAAATAAACAAGGTAATAATTTTATCCTTAATGATACAGAGTAAATGGCTGAAGTTATTTCAGAGATGACAATTATTGTTAGTAGTATTATTTAAATATTTTTTGTTAGCATAATTATTTAACTTACGAATTAACGATATTAATAATAACAATATTGTACTTATTATTGCTATTGCAAATTCCATCGCAGTTAATGGAGTTGAGAGAGTACTTTCATCACAGTTAACTGGCCTATGCTATTGGTTTCAAAGTAGCGTCACAAGTTCCTCCATTCCCAAATCATATATTGATTACACTTAGTGAACTTAATAAAAGTAGACGAGGCCAGAGCCCACGGTGAGGGTGCCCCAGTATATCAGGTTGAACGTGATGAAGATGACCGACATGGAAATCTTTGACGTCTTGATGTAGAACTGCAGGTTGAATTCTACTCTGGCAAGTTTCCCGCAAAACAGCAGTTTCTTTTTTTTATCGACGTCGAGTGTTCTGGCACTCGATACAGGTCGTACTTTGATGGAAGTGACATTACTGACGCTGCCACTCGACGGAGAGTCAGCCCAGGTTTCTGGGGGTTTGTTACTGTTCGTGTAAGTGTTGATCCCGAACCCAAATCCGTCTTTGTACTCGACGTGGAGGTCGATCACGGTGTGCCAGATGATGATGAGGAAGATGAGGACGATGCAGAATAGAAGCCAAATGTCGACCATCTTGAAGTAGGAAGTTTTTGGAAGGGACGTGGACACCTGGGTGAACAAGGTAGCCAGCACGAGGAGGGAGGTGAGGGCCGTCATCACTCGAACCTGTCCAACACAACATCAACAGTAAGAAAATGTAACTCTAAATGACGGCAAGGTACCAAAGCTATAGACACACACACACACACACACACACACACACACACACATCTGGAAAAACATTTGTAATACTGTGTCTCCCTACCTATACCTAACCTAACTTAACCTAACTTAACTTAACTTAAACCTAACCTAACCCCTTCGACTGAATATCTCAACTCCCCACTATCAGTTAATTCTCCCTCACCTCGAAAATGGAGGGCCTGAAGAGGAGGGTGACATAGCTGATGATGAGGAGGGTGAGGGAGGGGATGTAGATGTTGAGCATGGCGTACCCGTAGCGGCGGATCAGCTCCACCCTCACCTGCGACACACTGTACTGGGAGGCGTTGTTCACATCCAAGTCGATGGTCCCGATGCTGTACTCCACCAACATTTTAGGTCCCAGATACTCCACGAACGAGTCTGAGGACGAGCACCAGGGCGAGTTATAGGTGGGTCACTGTCTCGTAGAATGAGTTTGGGGGATGAGTTACAGGTAGGTCAGTCACTGTCACTACAAACGAGCGAAGTGAAAATAATGTTTATTTACCGGAAGTGAATGTTATTGATCAGAGTTTAACACCTCTAGGTATAGCTTTAGGTAGGGCTTGTCAGTCTGCTTATTAAAGTTAATGTATCGTAACATTTTATTCACATATGAGTTTTCTTCGTAGGTTTAAGAGCAACTTTCCCCAGAAAATCAAATACACTTTTATTTTGAGGTGATGGAGATAGTGACATTAAAAAAGAACAATTGACGTTATCACATTAAATGATAAGTTTTTGTTGTTAAGGTTTGTGACATAAATATGATATAATGTTTGTTCATTTATCTTAGCTCTAAAAAGCGGCATATACAAAATACTTTGGAATTTAAAGAATTTGATAAATTAAAAGATATTATCTATCAAAGTATACTTTCTCAGTAGTCTATCTATTTTTTGTGATCAATTGGTCATCTTACTTAGTCTTTAGGAAGGAGGAACATAATATTCCTTCTGAATGTTCCCAGGTAAATGTAACACTTAATGAAGGTACATCTGGCGCCATCATCACTTTTACCTTTTACATAAACGGATCATTACTCACTCGCCTTTGAATAGCGAGAACGAGGCGCTTATTATACATTTTATGGAATACTTGGCTACTTGGTTAATGAACGCTCATTGCTTAAGAGGAGTTTGCTGCAGGACTAAAAGACGAATAAGGAAGAGTTACAGGTCAGAGGACGAGCTAGTTACAGGTCAGGGGACGAGCTAGTTACAGGTCAGGGAACGAGCTAGTTGCAGGTCAGGGGATGAGCTAGTTACAGGTCAGGGGACGAATTACAAGTCTGAGGGCGAGATACAAGTGAAGTTACACATAAACTTACAGGCGTAAAAAATATATCACAAGCCAGTGATCGTAAGACACTGACCTGTGAGGTTGAAGATGAGGTACTCGGAGGAGGCGGAGATGATCTGGAAATTCATGTAACAGTTCTGGATGTCGAAGGGATAGAGGATGAGGTCGAAGAAGCAGGTGAACACTGTGTTGTACTTGCGGGTGGTGGACACAGGGTTCGTGTTCCCCTGGTAGATCTCAACTACGGGAAGGTGAGATATGTTGATGATAGACAAAAATAGGAAGATGTTAATGATGAGAGTTTTGTATACAAGAAATATAACTAAGGGAAGAGATGTTACTCTCGGCAACACTGGAATTTAAAAAGTGGGGAATTTGGTGTTATATGTAACGAGAAATTCGACTAGAGGGGATGATGACGGCTGAATTAGTTGAGTCTAATGTTAGTGAGAGTGAAAATGGGTCTCAGGTACACTGAAGATTAACCATAAGGTAACAATGTGGCCGGCACTGCTCTCTTTCACTTTTCACTCTCACAATCGCAAAGTTGGGTACCCATTCATCAGCTGGGTGGACTGGGAGTGCCCTTCAAAGTCGCCGGCAGTGAGATTCAAGCCAGGGATTGCTGCACCCACTCAGCCACCGTGCCCTATAATTTTAGTAAGAGTGGCCATATAAGGTCACAAAAAAGACTATTGATCTCCCTAATGGCTAGAAAGAGTTAGGATGATAAGAGAACATAAGACTACTGGCTGACCTTCGTAAGGGTTGGAGAGGTCAGGGAGGTAGTGGGTGTCTCCCCTGTTGATGGTGGTGATTGCGTCTGAGTCGACGATGGTGTTCTGGATGTCGTCTGTGTTGATGAAGCCAATGGTGGGCCGCCACAGCTGGTCCACCTGCTCCTGCGACACTGTGGATCACGACGCCAAGGTGAGGGAGAGAACAAAAGGAAGAGGGAGAGGAGAGGAGGGATGGAAAAAGTGAAAGAAAGAGAGAGAGAGAGAGAGAGAGAGAGAGAGAGAGAGAGAGAGAGAGAGAGAGAGAGAGAGAGAGAGAGAGAGTAACAATACTTCTGAAGGAGTAAGATAATGGTATAACAAAATATGACCAGTTCAGAATTCCTAGAATAAATTATATAATACGAAACAGACCTCACCTGTGTTAAGTCTAGTCAGGTGTTTGAGATTGTTGTAAGTGAGTCTGTTGTCGTACCAGGTGATGCGGAGGTTGTAGCTGACGGTGAGCATCATGGTGGTGGTGTCCACGTTGAGGGTGTCCATAGTCACGTTCACCGAGATGGCCAGGGCACGGTCACTGGCTGAGGGAGGTGGGGGGGGGTTAAATGGTTAGTCCGATCCAACGTTAGTGTGAGAGGGAAGATGGAAGGTATATGAGAAGGAAAGGAACAGTGAGGATAGGGGAAATGTGAAGAAAGAGAGAAGGGGTGGTGAGTCAGGGGTTGCGTAAGGTGGTGAATACGTAGAGAGAGAGAGAGAGAGAGAGAGAGAGAGAGAGAGAGAGAGAGAGAGAGAGAGAGAGAGAGAGAGAGAGAGAGAGAGAGAGAGAAGGAAAAATATCACAACACCCATAACCTTAATTATAATTCTAAACATATTTAAACGTAGTTACACTTTATTTTTTCTCATGTGTTCCCGAGATGAATTTCTGCATGAAAACGTGTTTCATTATATAATCTAACCTTCCATCAGGCGGCGCATGTAGCTATATTTTATGCCTGACTTAAACACCTTGGCACAAAGGCTCCTCTTATCTATCATGAAATCAAAACAATGCTTGCCACTAACACCGCAACAACCCGGCCTCTCCCCGACCAGTTTCCCACCACGCCCTGCCCGTACCTAGCCAGCTATTAGTCGACCAGTTTCCCACCACACCCTACCAGCTCCGAGCCAGCTGAAAGACGACCAGTTTTACAGCACATCCTACCTCTGTGAGCCAGCTATTACTCGACCAGTTTCCACTATACCCTACCAGCTTTAAAATAGCCATTAGTCAACAAAATTAATTATAACCATATCAGCTTCTCCTCGACCAATGTCCAACCCCACACACTAACAAACCAGGTTTTCTCAGCCAGTCGCTAATTAACCAGTTCCCTCCCACCCCCTACCTGGCCTCGGGGGGAGTTTTGACCTGTAGTCATCAGGGAAGTTTACGATGTCGCAAAAGCTCTCGTCCGTCTTGTCACCGCAGTCAAACTTCAGGTCGCAGCGGCTGGCGAAGGGTACGCAGGAACCGTCGGAACAGGTGAACTCCGTGGAAGAACACGAGGAGAATGTCAACAACCTCTGGCCTGGCGGCTGTTCACATATATCCTCCTGGTGGTGGTGGTGGACACAGAGGATGGTGAGTATTGTCTCTCGTGTATTCTACTCGCATATTTGCTCGTAGAGGGTAAATATAGGGTGTATTTATGATTGGGTCTCTCTCTCTCTCTCTCTCTCTCTCTGTTGGGGTAATGCAATGGTTGTTGCAGTGCCTTCACTGATGGAGGAACAAGAGGCGTTGCTTGAGAAAGGAAGGTCAGGGACGACGGGGTTGGGTGAGTAAAGCGGTCAGTACTGTTTGTATCTCCCTTAACCATTAGTATAACGCGGGGACGATAAGAGCTACATTCATGTATGACTGATTCGTTTATGTTTGGGGGTTTAAAAAGACCACAAATAAAAAAACACACAAAACATGAAGTGGCACCTCGGATAAGTGTAGCTTAGATGAACTTAAAATAAGTTGTGAATGATGGTGAAGAAATCTTGGTGTGTGTGTGTGTGTGTGTGTGTGTGTGTGTGTGTGTGTGTGTGTGTGTGTGTGTGTGTGTGTGTGTGTGCAGGTACAACTTTAATTCATCAATTAACACTTAGCACTCTCAAGTGTGACCAAGAGCCGTCGTCCCCCTTCCCTTATTTTGGTTTCCCAGGTGACTCTGGTGACAGTGTTGATGGTTGTGGTTAAACGTCAAATGAACCTCAGTCCGAATAAGTTCCAACCTATTCTAACAATAAGGGTCGAGGCTTCATAGTACTGGGGCCAATAAGTATGATCCCTAATCTAGAGGATAAGTTAAAGTTAACTTTGGATCTGCTAGAATTGGGGCTTATTTGACCAATGAGCAGTGCGGCCATGATGGTGTCGATGATGGTGATGAGAAAACATTAACACCTGCTGCTTGCAGGTGACACAGGAGCTCTTCCCCTCACCTTGGTCTCCCAGGTGAGTCTGCCAATGGGGTAGGTGCGATCTTTTTGACGGTTATGGAGGGTGGCCATGGTGGTGTTGGTGATGGTGTTGTACCATAGCCACCCAATGACGTCCTCCCCTGTCATTATCTCCTTCACCGCGTATTCGCCGTACCCACGGAACCCAAGGGGCTTCCCCACCAGGTCGAAGTAGTACATTCTCTGACGGGAGGTGAGTGTGAGGGGTTAACGCTGAGACTTAATACTGTATACACTGGCAAGAATGTTTGATGCGGTAACAAGTCTAACCTAATCATTAGGTCTGGAGTCTTAGACTGGTACCCATTACGACTGATCATGAACCCCAATACTAGTTTGTGTTAGGAGTAGGGCTTCTTGGGACCACAGTCCATATAATTGTTTACAGATGGTAGTGCAGCCTTCTCACTTAACCTGAATTATGTTTACGTCGTTACTTTGTGGCTGAGATGTTATAGAAAACGTTCACACACACACCCTCTATGTCTGTTTCTCTCTCTGTCTTCCGCCTCATAAATCATCTTTCCATTTTTCCTATTTACTGTATATATATTATCTATCTCCTTCTCATCCCTTCGACAATACCTCTATCCCTTATCATCCTGTTCTACCCTTTCGTTCAGTTGTTCACACTGATTCACCTTCTCCTCCTCACAGATGCCCCTGAGTGTCCAGGTGGTGCCGGCGGGGGTGTGACAGGCAGAGCAGCTGTGTTTCTCACAGCTGGTGTCTTCCAGCCCCTTTACGTGCAGTCGGATGCAGTTCTGGTACTTGTCTCCATCTGGGTTGTTCTCACGAAACAACAGTTCGCTCTGATGGGATGGTTAGGTTAGGTTAGATTAGGTTAGGTTAGGTTGGGGTTCAATTTATATCTGACAATGTAAGGATAAGATGGATGACGTGCATGAGCTGAACTGCGAAGTCAAGATAGATGGCGTGCATGTGAATGACGTGCTATTATAATACAACAATTGGTTATTAACGTGATAGTTATTCAGTCAATGAGGCCACGCAAGAATTATGCTGTTGTGAGAAAGGGATCGTGATACACTGACAGGTAAAACTGATTTATGTATAATAATAATCTGCAGTGAAGGTAAAACATTACTTTACATTCACCTGTTGCTGTTACTTCCATTTCATCATTTGCTGTTGCTAGACTCAATGTAAATTTAGCCCCTTATCTTATATCGCGGAGTGTGTTATGTGTAATGATCAGTCTTGGATAAAAATTAAGCAAGCGAACACAAAGGTGAAGGTAAAGGGATGGTAAATATAACCGATAATAAATTTCAGAGTTTGTTGTGCTTGATGATCAGTTTCAAAGAGATGAATTACCCTCTACACTTTCTTTAATGTTTCTCTACCCCTTGTTCCAGCCCCACACAAAAATAGGAGAAGAAAAATGATGACAGCTAGACAGACGGTATAAAGCAGGTGAACAGAGAAGGTGTCTCACGGTATTCCTGGAGGAGGCGGTGAATGGGTCATGCCACACCCCCTCCTGGGCCTCGTCCGTCACGCCCGCCCACTGCCGGTCACACTCTGAAGGACCACACACACCCTTTAATGTTGTTAATATTTTTAGGATTCAAGAGTTTGTCCCACACAAGACACCAGTGGGAGAGTGAGGTAACAGCTTAGTGTAAGTATAGCAGTTGTATATTCTTGTTTTAGCATTGTGTATATTTCTCTTTGTTTGTCTCTGTCTTTTCACTCATAATTTCATCCAATTTCGTCTTTCATTTCTCCCTTTTTTCCTCCTCTCCCTCGCTCTATTCATGCTCTTAACCCTCACTCCCCTCCTCTCTCCTCCATACAAACACACACCCTTACCTTCGGCACCCTGAAAGTAGCTGATCTCCTTGACGATTTCCTCACGTTTTGTGGGCACGCGGATGAAGCCTCTCAGTCCTCTGCAGACGTGGACGGCGTCAGGAAACCTTAGAAGCGGCAGCGGCACCGTCAGGAAACCTCGTGACACCGAAGCACACAGCTCCTGCAACGGTACCTCCTGGAACAACAGGAAGCCAAATGTACGTCTGTCAAGCTACACATCTATTCACCTTGTTAATCACTTGCATTCATGATATTTATTAGTCTATAGAGATAAGGAGAAGACAATAACTGCTTGAGACACGTCACCACGTTCCCTCACCTGCTCTTCCACTTGTTCCATCTGCCACTGATTGGACCACGTCACCACGTCTCCCTCAAGATCAACCTCACAGCGGGACACACTCAGGATCTCGTCGTGGGTGAGGACTCGACCCCACACGTTCACCTGACTCAACATCCCGCTCAGCGAATACGGAAGCTTGGGGGGGGGGGATAAGACAAGTAACAAAGGGTTTAGATGATGAAAAGAAAAAGAGGAAATAGAATGAGAAGAGGAAGAAGGTATAAGACTGACACCACAAACATCACTCGTCCTCACTTACACCAAGAATATCACCTTACCTGATACTCGTCCTGGCCGATAACCACATCCCGGGTATTGGTGTCTGTGACGAAGGCCACCTCCTCCCTGACAATGAGGTCCCCGTCCAGGTAGACCCTCCCTTCTCCTCCACTCACGTCCCGGACCTGCCGGAGGTAAAGCATGTGGACATGGGAACACTGGGGGAGTGAAGGAGGAAGGAAAATATTGCACAGAAACGTGGAGAAAAATGGTTGAAAGGCTGAATTTATTTATGAAATGGGATTGTGTTTCAATCCTGAAAGCTTGGACACAACAGCTGCAATATTTAGAGAGAGAGAGAGAGAGAGATTTTTTAAAACTCTTTCTTAATCAGGAAAATTTGTCTTAATAAAAACGTATAAACACCTTCAGATTAATGTTACTAACACTTCTGGTCGTCTTAAGGAAGGGGTATGTTTTACGTTTTTTTTTCACTTTATCTCTTGTTATGATCCTCCTAACCACAGTCTTGTACGATAGTTTAGGACGATTGACAATGGTGGGGGCGGGAGGGGCACTCACCCTTTATGACAGTGGTTAGGTTAGAGCTGTAAGACCTCGGGCTTATTTGACCAAAACATCAGAGATTACGTAGAGGATTAAAATCTTATTGGTACAAATAATGGTAATTAGAGGGACGTAAAGATAAGTGGAGACAATTAACAAATAACATGAAAATAATTATATAAGTATGGTAAATACAATAACTGATATAACTGATAAACCTTCGGTACTGCGAATAATTAAACCCTAATTAACAAATCACTGTAACAAATTAAACCAAAATTTTACAGACTAGTGAAAAAATTTATGAATGCAAATAATACAAAGGCGTGTGAAAACTTGAACCGACAAAATGTAAAACTCAAAGGTGACTCCGAGAGCAGTAATGATGTCACCTGGGCGGAGTAATGAGCTCTCACCTGGCAGTAATGGTACCACTTGTTGGTGGCTAGGTTGGCTGGTAGCGAGTAGAACCGGCCGTACCCGCCATACTTGGTCCGGATCTTCTCAAAGTACACCTCGAACGAGATGGCTGTGTGAGAGAACCAGTAAGGTGTTGGGGTCATGGTCGTGAGGTGAAGGTGGAGCACGTTCTCTCTCTCTCTCTCTCTCATATATACAACCATTTCATTAATATGGATAGACGGAAAAAAGAGAGATATACAAATGCGTAAATAAAGAAAGAAAAAGAGATCAACATTAAAAACAGAAAGCGAAGCATAGAGAAATATAGAGACAAATAATAAGGAGAGAAAGAGAGAGCAGACAAAATTCTGACACTTAGGTTCAGGCTCTATAATAGGACTATTGAAGTTTATAAGATAAAAGAAAAGCTTTCCAACATATGCACCGCGAACAAGAAATTTCTCTCAGGTATGTGATGGACTCGGGAGGTACACATTATCCTGAAGGTCAACATAATTAACAGGTGACTTAACTATTGATAGGAAAAATGTAGACGATTGTGTTATAAGATATGGGTTATATCCTACATATAAATAGATTGTATGGCTGGATACCACTGTAAAATTCATCATCATCGTCATCATCATCATCAATCATCATCATGTTCCACAATTGTGTGAGTTAGTCATGATTACCTGATCGTCTGACGTAGGAGGGAAATAAGGATAAGTGATGGTCTGGTAGTTGATGAGGAACAATAATACAGATTTATTTTTTTTATATAATACACAGTAACTGAGGTACACGTGAGAACAGTGTTCCGTGAGGCTGTTACAGAAAGTAAAAAATTATGTGGGAGTAAGGAACGGATGAACCAGTGTGTGGGAACTTAAATTTTTTGAGGTGTTCTTTGCAATCCTAAAAATGCAATGATTGCACGAGAGGTTATTGATTAATGTGAAACCAATGACAATGACATTCACTCAGAACCCACAATGGCGTGAGTGCAATACATAAACAATACTTTGACCTCAGCATGACTCGAGCCAACACCACAATACTGATACTAAATGTAAATAGAACCTGTAAATAATGTTGTTTACGAGAGTGTAACAATTTGTGACTTGCTTGCATTTGTTGTGACCAAGTGAGCAATGGTCTCAACTCTCAAGATCTATGTTCAATGCAGTTCTAGTATCGAAGGTCTACTGGGAGATATGATTGAACGTGGCCATTAAATCTGTAGATAGACTTTTGTGTAGGTTAGTGTCATCAGCATAAGAATGTGTGTTGCTGGAAGGGATGGAGAGGCGGTCATTAATATGGAGTAAGAAGAGGTTAGTGGCAGGATCTGAGCCTTGGGGCACTACAACATTGATGGGAAAGTAGTGTGTGTGTGTGTGTGTGTGTGTGTGTGTGTGTGTGTGTGTGTGTGTGTGTGTGTGTGTGTGTGTGAACCATCCACAACTACATGGGTGTGAGGGTCAGATAAAGAAAGGGAGATTCAGGGAATTAACGAATTAGTTAGACCACGTAATGGAAGTTTGGCGAGGAGTGTGATGTTATTTTATATTAAAAAGTTTAGAATTATCACAGTCAAAAACAAATGATTCAATACTCTTGTGAAGAAAACAATTATGAGTTAGAGTTAGCAAGTCTCCTAAACAGCATTGGGCGTTAGAGAAACAGATTTTTTTTTGTTTTTACTGTACTTGTGTAAACTGTTCGTTTATGACAGATGTTTCAGACGAGAAAACTGTATGTGACGAGTAGGAACGGGTACAACGCTTAAGTGAGAACAGGCGCAAATTGTGGCTCATATTTGTAAGGACAAGAGGTGGAAAACTATCACGTCCTGAGGGCTTGTTAGTGTTGGGAAGGATCTGGTGTAGGTACTGGGAATATCGTTCACTGTGTTCACCATAGTCCTGCAATTAATAGAGGAAATCCAAACTACTCCAGGGCACTACAACAACAAGAGAACCTTCTGTAGGAACACTAACGGTCTTCGTCGTAGTCCTGAGTGGCCAGGAAGTAGATGACGGCAGTGAGGAGGCGGAACACCCAGATGTTGAAGCGGACACACAAGGTATAGTCCTCGGCCATTCGCACCGACTCCCCGTACTTGATCCAGGTATTATCCCGCTGAGCCCCGTCCATGTTGAAGGAGAGAACCCGTATGGTGCCTCCTCCTCCTTTATGGGAAGAATCATAGAGTTTACTGAAAGTGAATGCCTGCTCTGTGCCTCCCCCTGCATTTAGGAGGAGTCAATGTGGTAATACTGAAGGTAATACCACACATAACTATACACAAATATATATGTATGAAAGGACCCAACATCCATGGATATACTCACACAGATCAACACAAACGTGATCATATATTCACAATCACAGACTAATAAAAAATCACCTTTCTGAGAGCTGGTGATACGAGCTGTCATGATGATCACCAGGACAGCCAGGACTGACCTCTGACCCACGACAACCATACTGTGACCTCAAGTGACCTGGTGAGGAAGGAGCGGTAATTTACTCAAATTTTCATTATATAGAAAAAAAATTAAAACAAAGAGAAATTAATACACATAAAATAATTTTGTAATAACAGATATTAGAATTGAAATAATTAGGAAAGCTTTTATTAAATATTTTTTGGATTATCTCGTATAAAAAGTAATGAAAATATGACAAAAGAGAAGACAAAGATAATGGGGGTAATGTGGAATGAAAAACAGGTGATGGAAATTGAAACGAAATTGAAAAAGGAAACATTTGAATCTATAATTAAGGTGGAAACATAAAGTATTTGAAGCACGAACCTGTTATACTCAAGGCGGGAAGATATTATCTGTTCTATGTTATTATGAATAATATTCTGTATTATTATCTAACAACGGATAATATAACTTGTACCATAAATTACATCTGGCATTATAAGTTTTACATTAACTTAAGACAAGGTGAGTGTGTATGTGTATGTGTGTGTGTGTGTGTGTGTGTGTGTGTGTGTAAGAGTATATCCCAACGAAGAAATTACCTGGGCGATGGAGGTTTGTAGAGACGTATAGAGGGTGAACAACTACCAAGTGGTGAGAACGTCGTGTACGCAAGACGCCGTCAGGTTGGCGAGTGGTAAGCGGCCGGTGTTACCTGACGTTATATCGCGCACTGCCGCTAGTTTATTCATCGCTAACACGGCCCACGACGCCCTGCACTCTAATTTACCGTCATGGGTGAAATATTTATAAGAAGCAGAATCATATTGATGAGTCCTGTTTCCTGATTATTTCTGAAGCTTAATATCTCGATGCAGTAGTTAGTGAGGGACGAGCGGAACACTTATTAGTTAAATGAAGAAATACATCCTGGGATTTACGAGAGTAGTAATTATAACACGTAATAAATTGTGTTATCTTGGTGCGTCAGTGATAATGCAAGATGGTCTAAGAATAACGTCGATATATATGACACGTCAAATAATCGCGACAATTACTCATCTCTCCTCCTGGTGGTGCAAGAGGGAGTGCTGAGAGTCGTGCTGGGAAGGAACACTCAGTACCAGGTAGAGTATGAGACAGTAGTACTAGATCATTTACCTTTAACAGTGTTCTCCATTTTAAAAGAGATTGAGGATCTTCTTATGTTTTCATGTTCTTCACTCAGCAGAGAACTGTGGGGACCCTCATAGTGCACAGCATCATAACTGTGAATGTTGTCTGGCATTTCATATATGTGCATTCATAACACAGAGTTCAACAGTTCACATACTATCTGAGAACTATTGCCATTCTCCTTTAGTCCATCTGCCTCCCATCTTCTCCCAACCGTATCATTACTGACCATTTATTCCAATTTTGGCATAAATGTTTCCAAGGGTTGAATGTGTCGTCTTTCCCTCCCCGACCTGCTCACCCTTCTTAAGCCTCTACACCATTACTTTCATTTTCGTATCTATAAGTAAAATAAAATATTTATGCTATATTTACTTGTCTTAGGTTATCTGGCAATAATGTATCATACTCTGATCTTCTTTCTTTGACTTGAATGTTTTTCTTCATATATCTCTTCTATTTTCAGTATATCTGTTCTCGATTCCTCCTATTACCTGCAGGATTAGAATCACCATTGAGGAAAATTCAAAACACTTACGTACTCTTCCAACACATGAGACAGTGTACGTTCCTTACAAGTCTTTCGTGTAAAATAATCCTTTTATGCCGTCTGCTCGCTTTTTCCCCACCTTCAGGGTTGGCCCGTTGGTCACGACGTAAATTGAGATGCGTGCCATAACCCACCAAGATCTCTGACTGCTCCTTCAGGCAAGTCTTACTGTATCAGCCCATCTGTGGTAAGTCTCTTCACAGCTTGAGATCTAAGCCCTGCCTGCTTCTTTACCTTCACTTACTACCACATACAACTTTACATAATATCTTATCATAATTCTTATTTGCACAGCCTCAGCATCTCTTCCCTCTCGCTTATGCTATCACCTCATCCTACACCTAGAATAGTTTTGCCCATCTCTGGTTGTAAAAAAGGGGTTTCCTACAAAGCAATGGGGACTGAGATATGTGAAGATGTCACATTGATCACTGACCCCACCAGCTAAGAAATATATCTCGTGGTTATGGTTTTCAGGAAGCCTTATGGCAGGTCATTGTCTCCTGCACCTTCTTGATGTTAAAGATGCCAGGGTCGGGTGGCTGGTGCGTACTGTTAGTGACCTGCTCGAGACCACACCATGACGCCCCTCCCTGAGTTGCAAGCAATAACCATAAATATTCTGGCTCACAAAAAGAGGAACGGCGGCAGTCGACCTAACACTAATGCATCTTGTGATTCACTGTGAAATATTACATTTTGAATTACACTGCGGGAGAGAATTTTGCTAAATTTTTAATATCAATGTTAGAGATGATAATTAATTATTCATCAGTGTGTCTTTTTCCTTCATACATTCGCAGTTCTTATATTTTTGAAGCAACAAATCCGTATTACCATCTGCCTGACTTCGTTATCAAGTCAAGTTTTTTACGTTAAGCTCAGGAATCTTAAACAGACGTGTGTTAACATCTTCTTGCGGAACTTTTGTTATCTAAGTAAAAGAGAGACAGGGAACTTGTCGGAGTAGCCATTTTTATTCTTGCTAAAATAAACAGTACATATTAATTTACATTGCTCAATTCACCTAATTATATATTTTTTCTGTAAATAAGTAACCACTTAAAGATGTCTTGAAAGTGACTTGTAGTCCAAAGAAACTAGAAAGTAGAGGTTTAAGAGACACTGCTATTTATGTAACATGTTAGCCACCTAACATCTGTACCGACACATTCCTCAAACCCTGACCACTATCGAAGGAGTCGTAACGGTGAAACTTCACAGTAAATCAGATCAATACCAGAGCAAAATCCCAATTACGAAATTGTACCAGAGTTGTACACGGGAGTTACATTTCACATGATAGCTGGAGAGTTGTAGTACAGATGTTTACTGGACAGCTGCTGATACTGAGTGACTGGGATCGCCATTAATCAGCTGGAGAATGTGACTGGCGATGAGAGATACGACGACAGTTTATCTTGGATTATGTGTTTACGTGTGTCCGTAGTGTTGTTGCCTGAGAGCATGAGTCTTTACCAGCCACCAGATGAAGACTCACGCAGATATGTGCTTATCTGTCTTCACCTGTATCAAACAATTTTGAGTGTGTGTGTGTGTGTGTGTGTGTGTGTGTGTGTGTGTGTGTGTGTGTGTGTGTGTGTGTGTGAGTACGTGCATACTGTAAGTGTGTGCATAACATTGATACTGTACATACTTCAAAGGCTTTAAGTCTTTATCGCCTGTAATACAACTACTAAAGTTATTTGAAATATCCAAGTCAAAGGAAATCCATCCACGTTCGCTACTCGACAGGGACACGAACACCGACTAATATTACACAGTATATGCACACACTCCTTCTCATCTTCCCAGAGCTATAACCTTTATATCACTAGGTATATTTTTTCACGTCGTCACCTCCCTCCTCTTCTATGCGACTATAAATCTTGTCCCTCAAGGTGTGCGCCGTCGCTTCTTTTACTTTACACAGGAAGTTTCTGCATTAGGATGACGTTAAACCTGCTGAAAGGCGCTGGTCTAGTTAGATATGTGTGGATATTAAATTATGAAGAGACTTGGAGGACGTTAAGCACAATCACTATCTTGGATGTGTAATATGAGATGGTAATTATGTAGACGAAAGTAAACTCTTAGATTTAAATATTTATTTTTATTAATATTACTACTAATGACCTCACCCTAATCAACTGTACCCCTAACTACCCTACTACCCCTTACCTAACTTACCCCTAAAATAAACTAACTCGAACCTATCCTAGTTATAAGTTACCCATAGCATAACTTATCTTTACCGCAATCTACTGTACTTATTATACCGGAAATAGTTGAAAAACTTGAGCATGGAGAGGGAATGACAGGCGGACAGATGAACGGATGGATGGCTGAGTGAGGGAATGGACAAATACACGATCCGCTGGCTAAAAGAAAACGAAAGTAGATACAAATTAACGTGTAAGTGAATGGACGAGCAAATGGTTTCCAACAAACGAACAAATATTCAAAATGAACGTCTGAATAAAATAATGAACAAACAAACACACAAAGAGAAGAAAAACTAACAGAGAAATGAGGTGGTTAATGCACAATATCAGCGGCCATCGTGGCGAGGCTAAGGCAACAATGGTGAAACTAATGACACTGTTTACTGGAGCTCCTCCATCGACCTCAAGTACAGTACATTATCTCAACATTCTTGCTTGGTTAATCATTATTTTTCGCTCCGGTTATAACGATTTACCGCCAATGATGATTATAATTAAGTAGTGTGTTATAATGCACTACGTATTCCTACTCATGCGGGTTTTATTCAAAGTGTAGAATGTTTTATGGGATCGTGCATATGACATGACACGCTACTGAATACTCGAGGGCCATGTTATGATTATATTGGCTGGTACTGCTTATTATAGTTGTCATAAGTAAGGTATACCGTGGGAAGTGTGCGTGAGGCGGCACTGTAAACTGTCTATTAGATCTCAGATTTTTTATAAAATTCAAGATTTAGGAAGTCTGAGGAATTTACTATCCAACGATACCAATGATATGCATAACATGTGACAGAACTCCCTCAGCGGTGTATATCAGATATTGAAGTAAGTGTAAATCTTCCTTCAATCTAAGGTGTACAAATATTTCTTCACGTTTATAGTTAATATTTATACAAGACGAATGACTGCAATACAAAAGCACGCTGAAGGTTTTATATGTTGTCAAGAATCTTAAGTGTAATGTGAAGTGATAATTTGAACACGGTGAGAACAGCTCCTGTGAAGCTGGTACTGTGCTCTTCCTTCTAACGTTATCTTCTGTCTCTTGTGGATTTTCATGTGTTTTGAATTGACACTAAAATTTGGCATAAATGCTCAGTGATCATAAGTGTAAAGTTCAGCGAATCATTTTGTGCCAGTGACTAGTTCCAGGAAATGTTTAAATCACTTGTGAATACATGTCACTCTAGCTTGGAGAGCCAGAGCCCTTGTGAACTAGATTAAGAAGTGTCAAGTTTATATCGTCTAACTATCCACTATATTACCCTGACAATGCTAACTGCCTTCAGTGATATAGTCACTCCCGGCTACAGGCGAACTTGTCATTTCTGATTTGCCGTCATACCTGGCATATAATGGACAGTGTACCACAAACTGATGTACTTACTTTGATCTCTGATACTTATAATCAAGAAACAGCAACGGACACTCTAATACATCGACTGTTCGGGCCCGTATTTGATGAGAGACTGTGGACAAGCACTGAGCAGAATTGAAAATAATCACGATGAAATTCAAGCGAAGCAATCTGTGACGCATGGTTGGCAGGGTACGAACCATCAAGGTATAATATCTCCTGTAGGCTCGCCTCTGAACCCCAAGAGGATCACGTCAGAGGTCTCAGAATACGCCAGGTGATATAACGTGGTGTACGACCCACAGCAAGTGACAGGCGACGCGGCAGGTCCCTTTCTTCCTCTCCCAACTCGAAGAACATTCCGCTACTAGACGTCC